TTGGTGAAGGATTTTCACCCGAAACAGTTTTGGTTTTGGTTTTGGTTTTTAAGTTTGAGTTTTGGTTTTGGGTGCCCTGAGGTTCCATCCGATCCGAACCCGAACCGTTGCCATCCTTAGAGTATACTAATAATATATTTTGTTAGCAAATTATAATAATATTTTATTTTTTAAAACATATGAGTATACTAATAATATTTTTGTTGGCAATATATAAATAATAACTTGTTTTTTTATTTTTAATTATAAATTGTTGATAAATGGCGAAATGAAATAAATAATAAGCTCACAAAATTTGTTAAAAAAAAATGAAAAAATGGACCATACTCGACGTATGCCGCAGTAAAGATCTCAGCAACACAAAATTGGAAAGTCTCTCTGCATAAAAGCTCACAAAATTAGGTAAATTCCAGCAATTTGTGTCAACCCCAATTGATAAAAGATGGAGGAAATCACAGAGGGAGTCGCCACCGTCAACATCGCCGGCGATTCTCCGAAGAAGAACCGAATCCAGGTCTCCAACACCAAAAAGCCCCTTTTTTTCTACGTCAATCTCGCCAAGGTATTTTGCCTCGCCCCGCCTCGCCTCGCCTCTTATGCTCGAACTTTACCAATTGCTGAAGATAACACTAACAATTCAAGCTTTTGGACCTTTTATGGTTATATGGATTTGAGATTGAGCTGTTGATTGTTGAACATGTGCAGAGGTACATGCAGCAGAACAATGAGGTGGAGCTTTCTGCCCTGGGAATGGGTATTTCTCGCCTTTTTTTCTGATCGATTTGGTTTTGTTTAGTTTTATCTGTTTTGAACGAACTTATATCTGTTGCTAGTTAGCCGTTAGTTCGATCTAGCTGTATCTTGTTGGCTGTTTTAGTGGTATTTGGTTCGTCGACTAGGTTATTGTCAAGATATTTGAGTTGGTGATGTCCAGCAGCATCTGAACATTCGCTTATTTACTCGGACATATATTAATATATGCACGTACAGTGTACGTACAGGAACATTTATCTAGAAAGATTAGCATTTGCACTTTTATGTAGCTGATAGAAGGAGCCATCTTTCAGGAGTGTTGCGAAGATTCTTTCGCTCATTGATCATTTCCAGTTCATCGGGTATTAAAAGTTAGTGGAGTAAATGTCACTCTTAGACCTTCAATATGGAGGTGTTAGTAATGAATGCAGCTATAAAAAAGGGAGGGTACGAAAGCCTACCAGGTAAGTTTACGGGTTGCAAAACCCAAAACTGGGTTTGCAACTCCGGATGGGTTTTTGGTTTTTGGTTTTTGGTTTGGTTAGAGACGTGATATTCTAGAAGACCTGGAAACTCATCCAGTTGATCTGATAAATTTTCTGTGCTTAGCTCACCAACCCAAAGTCAGTCATTTATTCTCAAGTAATCCAAGCTCTAGCTGAAACGATCTGTGTATTTTAGGGATCTGAATAGCCAGCCATTTCTGCGTTATGTAGGTTTTCAACGGAAAATAATGTTGTAATAACCTAATAAATAAGTATCATAAAGAGCCACACGAGAAAATGTGTTTACGATCTCAATTTGCCGACATACTTTTTAACTTGTAACATGTTTGTTGATTTCATGTTTTATTGCCTTATTAAAATTTCCTACTTCAACCAAAGTCATTCATTGAAACTGAGGCAATGCATTCTTCAACCACTGGTAGGATGCAATTCTTTGTCCTACTCGCAAGTTAAGAGAAAATGTACACAAACAAAGCAACTGACTTATCATTTGAATAAAACCATGTTGCAAGATCTCCCCTTTCTGGTGAAACTTGTGGGTTGTGACTAGGACAAAGAATTTCATCTAGCAGTTTGTTGACATTTTCATTTATGACTTTTTCAACTGATGTTTCCAGTTGAAATTAAGCTCTATTTTTTGCATATTTAATTTTCCTAACAATTTCCAGTTATGTAGTCCACTTTGATATAATTTGGATAGGGATTTTAATATGGGGAAGCCTTTGTACTGTATTGGTATTGATGGTAAATATTTTTCTTGTGCATATGCAGCAATTTCCACTGTCGTGAGTGTTGCTGAGATCTTAAAGAATAATGGATTTGCAGTGGAAAAGAGTAAGGCTTTCAGCTAATCTTCTTGTTCCTGAACGTGATGTTATTGACTCATTCATATGTTGGCATTCGTTAATGGTAAAAAAATGTCTGATTTTTTTGCAGAGATCACAACATCAACTGTTGAAATCAGAGATGAATCAAGAGGACGACCTATCTCAAAAGC